ATTCGCGTGACAAGTTAGGTCTCTGTGGGCGGTGCTTGTTGGAGTGTGTGAGTGGGTGTGGGCGTGAAGGGGTCGATATCTGTCAGCCGGGAATAGCGGTCTCAGCCCACCCATTGTGAGTGACTCCGAGCCGCGACGACAGTGATTTGTGGGCGTGAATATGCTCTTTTGTTTGGCTTCGGGCGCGGAAAAGTCTTTGTGGTTTTATTTCCCTTTGCGAGGCTTTTTTTTACCTTAGATATTTTGTTTCCTTTTGAGATATAAATTAGTGGCCGCTCGAAAATATGATGATAAATTTAGCAATAAACTGATGAAGATAAATGGCTATACTAACCAATGAAACGAATGGATGAATAAGTAAGACAGATAAACTTACTCACTCTGAAATTGATAATCGATAGACCTGTTGTTTTCAATAAATCTTTTTACTTTGTGGCCTTGTTGTTTACTCTGTTAAGTCCGTCTTGACCAATTTTATCTTTATGCATTTAGACCTTGCGGTTGAGAAGTTGCAGATTTATCCCTCCCACGATCACCTCCTCCATCAACCTCGTTTCCTCCCTCTCGTCCCTCTGCCCCTCCCCGCTCCCCCCTCCACCTTCCCCTCCCCGCATCTCTTCCCCCTCCCCTCGTCTGCTCATCCCCATCCCCCTCCCTTTCCTAAACCTCCCCCCCCCCCCCCTCTCTCTCTCTCTCTCTCTCTCTCTCTCTCTCTCTCTCTCTCTCTCTCTCTCTCTCTCTCTCTCTCTCTCTCTCTCTCTCTCTCTCTCTCTCTCTCTCTCTCTCTCTCTCTCTCTCTCTCTCTCTCTCTCTCTCTCTCTCTCTCTCTCTCTCTCTCTCATTCTCTCTCTCTCATTCTCTCTCTCTCATTCTCTCTCTCTCTCTCTCTCTCTCATTCTCTCTTTCTCTCTCTTTCTCTCTCTCTCTCTCTCATTCTCTCTCTCTCTCTCATTCTCTCTCTCTCTCTCTCTCTCTCTCTCTCTCTCTCTCTCTCTCTCTCTCTCTCTCTCTCTCTCTCTCTCTCTCTCTCTTTCCCTCTCTCTCTTTCCCTCTCTCTCTCACCCTCTCCTCCTTCCCATAACATCGAAATCCTCTTCTAATCTTGAATTCCTTTAGCATAAGTAGCCACCTACGACCTGCGTTCTGTGACCTACCACCTACGACTCACTAACGATTTACCTGTGACCGCACTTGACTGATCTTGACTTACGACTGACCAACGACTTGCCTACGACTGACCAACGACTTGCCTACGACTGATCTATGACCCGAGGCTGATATTCACCCCCCCCCCCTCCCCCCCCCCCTCCCCTCGACGCACACAGTTCTGCACGGCTCAGGATGTTGTCGTTTATCAGTGTGTCCTGTCGTTGCATTTCCACAGGACTTTGTTGAATGCGTGCTTGCGGGTGCGATATGTTTGTTTGTTTGTCCGTGTGTGTGTGTGTGTGTGTGTTTGTATGTATTTGTGTGTGTGTTTGTGTTTATGTGTGTATGTTTATATGGCCCTGTTTGTGCATGTGTCTTTCTGTGGCTCTATTTATGTGTCTGCATCTATGGCTATGTCTGTCTGTTTATATTTCTGTGTGTGTGTCCGCCTTTGTCTGTTGGTGTCTTTCTTTATACTCACTTTTTTCGTGCATGTTTGAGTGGAAGTCGGAATGAATGTGCACGACTAACGTTTTCCTGCGCGTTGGCACTCCGTCGCGACCTTGCAATATCGCGGCCTCGGAGGTTTCCTTCGCGTCAGCTGGCAGCCCCGCCGGCGCTCGACCGAGGGTGCCGGCGGCGCTCGGATTCCCAAACGGCGCTCCAGCGGCGCTCGGGACAATGGCTTGAGCACCGCCGCGGAGATAAGACACGGGGCCCATTGTGTCGGTCTTCTCTCTCTCTCTCTCTCTCTCTCTCTCTCTCTCTCTCTCTCTCTCTCTCTCTCTCTCTCTCTCTCTCTCTCTCTCTCTCTCTCTCTCTCTCTTACTCTAACTCTCACTCTCGCTCTCACTTTCACTCTCACTCATTCACTCTCCCTCTGTGTCTGTATCTCGTCCCCTCTTCCTCTCTTATTTCCTCTTCTTCCCGTGTTTTCAAGGCCCAAATCCCTCGCTCGATTTCTCTCGCCCTTTCTCACTTCCCATTTATATTTTTCTTGCACTCTCCCCTTTCCCCTGACCCAAACTGAAAATTAAATCATACCCTGTTAATTTCCTTGTCTTTCACACCTGGCTGCCTCTCCCCCTCCCCCTCCCCCTCCTCCTCCTCCTTCCTTTACTTCGATTCCTACTCCTCCTCTACGAGGGTCTTCCCCTGCCCCACCCCCTCCCTCTCCTTCGATCCCTTCTCCTCCTCCTCCTCCTCCTCCTCCTCCTCCACCTCCTCCTCCACCTCCTCCTACGTGATTGTCTTTCTCCACCCTTCCCTTGTCACTCTTTCTCTCCTGCTGTGACTGCTGCTAGTCTTTCGTCTGTTCTTCCCCCTTCTCTTCCTCTTCCCTCTCCTCTTCCTCTTCTCCCTCCTCTTCCTCTTTCTTTTTCCCCCTCCTCTTCCTCTTTCTTTTCCCCTCCTCTTCCTCTTTCTTTTCCCCCTCCTCTTCCTCTTCCCCCTCTTCCTCTTCCCTCTCCTCTTCCTCTTCCTCTTTCTTTTCCCCCTCCTCTTCCTCTTTCTCCCCCCCCCCCCTCCTCTTCCTCTTCCCCCCTTTTGTCTTCCTCATCGATGATTATTTTCCCTCGTCTTTTATTTCCTCCCCTTCCGCCTCTCCGCTATCATTATTTTTTATCTCTTGCTCTCTTCCTCCATTAGCGGGGTTATCCTTCAAGTTTTTGTCTTGTTTTGTATTTTGTCTTTCTCTACATGTCAATGACACACGCTTTATCACTCCCCCTCCTTTTCCGTTCCTCTTCTTCCCACTTTTCTTATTGTCTTCCTTTTCTCTCCTTGATATTTCTCACGCCGTTGCAATTACCACCTTCGTCGTCAGCCGCAGCGGGGACAGCATTCCTTGCAATATGCAAATGAAGTGGCGTAGCGCGGTGAGTGACGGTGACCGAAGGCCTGTCGGCGAAAGGGGAAGGGGGGGGAGGAGGGGGAGGGGTGGTGGAAGACGGAGAAAGGGAAGAAGCAGGAGAAAGAGGGGACGGAGGAGGCGGGGAAAGTGGAGGGAGAGGGAAAAGGAGGAGGGAGTAAGGACGAAGGAGGAAGGAGGAATGGGAATAGAAACAGAAAGAGACGAAGAAGACGAAGATGGAAATATTGAGGAGAAAATGGGACAAGAAACAGGCGGTGGAAGGTGAAAGTATAGAAGAGGCAGATGAGAGTGATTCCAACACAAGAAAAGAGTGTAAAGGAAAAGAAGAAACAAGAGAAAGACGAGATAACAGAAGGAAACAGGTGACAGAAAGATGCAGGTAAAGAAAGAGTAAAGAAATAGATGAATTAAGAAGATGAAAGGCTACGAAATGAGAGAGGGGGAGAGAGGGAGTACAGGATAGAGAAAGGAGGAGGAGGAGGAGGAGGAGGAGGAGGAGGAGGAGGAGGAGGAGGAGGGGTGGGGGAGGGGGAGAGAAGGAGGAGGGGGAGGAGGGGGAGGGGGAGGAAAGGAGAAGGGGGAGGGGGAGGGGGAGACGAGGGAACAATACCTAGCTTGATGCATTACCATAAGATGAGACAACCACCTGCTGCTGCCGCTGTGTTGTGCGGCGCGAGCTCCCAGATATTGGTTCGGGCCGTTTTTTCCCTTTTTAATATCAGGCGGAAATGTACACGCTCTGTTGTTGTTGTTTTTCTTACGTTACTTCGTCATTTTTTGTATTTGCCTGTTCGTTTTTTTGTTGTTGTTGCTGTTGGTATTTTCATTCGCGTGTTTTGTCTCTAGGTGCTTGTTTATTACGAAGCTATGTGATTTTCAGGCTAAAAAAGTTTGAACACCATGGGCACTAAATGAGTTGTTGAGAACTTTTTTTTTTTAGGGGGGGGGGCGTCGGCTCCGGGGGAGGAGGAGTCGTTTTTCGTCACCAAATGTGCAGAGAGTATTGATTAGTTGCCGTTAGCCTAAATTAAGACTCACTTGGTCTTTGTTATACGCGATTTTTTTGGCAGTCTTTGCCAGAATTATCGATTAGTGTTCTCACAGGTAACAATACTGCATCCCCTTTTTCTTTTCTTATTTTTTTCTGATCAACTCCCTCCCTCCCACCCTTCCTGTCTCCCTCCCTTCTTCCTTCCTTCCTCCCTTCCTCCTTCTTTCCCTGCCTGCCTCCCTCCCTACCTTCTTTTCTTTTCTTCTTTTTTTCTGATCAACTCCCTCCCTCCCACCCTTCCTGTCTCCCTCCCCCCCACCCTTCCTGTCTCCCTCCCCCCCACCCTTCCTGTCTCCCTCCCCCCCACCCTTCCTGTCTCCCTCCCTTCTTACTTCTTCCTCCCTTCCTCCTCCTTTCCCTACCTGTCTCCCTCTTCTTTTGTCTTTCCCATCCTCCCCTCCTTCTTTCCCTCCCTCCCTCCCTCCTTCCCTTTCTTCCCTTCCTCCCTCCTTCCTTCCCTTTCTTCCCTCCCTCCCTCTCTCCTTCCCTCCCTCCCTCTCTCCTTCCCTCCCTCCTCCCTCCTTCCCTCCCTCCCTCCCTCCTTCCCTCCCTCCGTCCCTCCCCTCCCTCCCCTCCTTCCCTCCCTCCCTCCTTCCCTCCCTCCTTCCCTTTCTTCCCTCCCTCCCTCCCTCCCTCCCTCCTTCCCTTTCTTCCCTCCCTCCCTCCTTCCTTCCCTTTCTTCCCTCCTTTCCCTCCCTCCCTCCCTCCTTCCCCCTCCTTCCCTCCCCCCCTCCTTCCATCCCTCCTTCCCTTTCTTCCCTCCCTCCCTCCTTCCTTCCCTTTCTTCCCTCTTTTCCCTCCCTCCCTCCCTCCTTCCCTTCACTCCCTCCCTCCCCCCCCCCTTCTTCCCTCCCCCCCTCCTTCCATCCCTCGCCAGTGTGACCATGAGCCCCGTTCCACTAACACCGCCCCCCCCTTTCCCCGCAGGTGCAAGGCCCCCGGCCGATTCCTGGAGAACCTCCCCGAGACGTCGGTGATCGTGTGCTTCCACAACGAAGCGTGGTCGGTGCTTCTGCGGACCGTGCACTCCATCCTCGACCGGTCGCCGCCGCAGTTCCTCAAGGAGATCATCCTCGTCGACGACAACTCCGACATGCGTAAGTAGTCTCGGGGGATGGAGGGGGAGGGGGGGGAGGGAAAGGGTAGGGATGGGAGGGGAAGGGTAGGGATGGGAGTGGAGGAAGAGGGTGAAGGGGAGGAGTAATAAAGGGGATGGGAGAGAGAGGGAGGAGAGGGGAAGGATTAGGTGATGGAGTAGAAGGGGGGAGGGAGAGAAAGGGGAGGAGAGCGAGAGTGGATTAAGAACCAAAATGGAAGAGGGAGAAGGAAAGGGAGGAAGGAGGAAGGGGGAGAGGGTGGAGGAAAAGGGAGTCAAGCATTGGGTGTTGGAAATAGAAGATAAGAAAGAAGATGGCAAGGCAATGCGGAGGTGGATGGGGGTGCCGGAGAGGAAATGGGAGGGAGGTTGAAATTGGAGAGCTGGAGAGGGAGGAAGAAAGGGAATGAGAGTGGGTATTGGAGAGAAAGAATGGAACAGGATTGCAAGCGAATGTATAGGTTGGAATGACAGAGACAGTAAGAGCAAGAATAATGATGGAAATGCGGATAGGAACGGATGGGAAGAGGAGGCAGGGTGTGTGTATGTCTGTGCTCAAATTTAGTCAGCGTTCAGCCTACGCAGCACACGCCAGCCGAAGCCAGAGCCGCTCGCATCGTCAAAACAGCGAAATACGCTCGGCTACCTGGCATTAGTATTCATCAGCGGCATGCGTGAGACCCCGCTCCTTGTTGGGCGTGCTAATTGCGTCGCTCTTTGGCAATCGTATCGCCAGAGTCTCCGAAGTTAGGCGGCCTTAGTTACGTGTTCTAGTTAACAACTGGCTGAACGTCGCCGGGGTTTGGGTCGCAGGGCGCTCGCCGCGGACTCGGCGGCTGCAACTCCGGCCGGGCTCACGCAGGAACGCGCCCGGGAATGGGCGGGGGAATTCTTGGGGAAGTAGAGGGGCGCCTTGGCTGAATGTATTGGATGTGCGATGCTTGCGCTGGACGCGACAGCTTCCGGGGAGGAACACACACACACACACACACACACACACACACACACACACACACACACACACACACACACACACACACACACATTCACTCTCTCACTCTCTCACTCTCTCTCTCTCTCTCTCTCTCTCTCTCTCTCTCTCTCTCTCTCTCTCTCTCTCTCTCTCTCTCTCTCTCTCTCTCTCTCTCTCTCTCTCTCTCCTTCACTGAGAAAAAGCACAGAGGCGGGCCGAGAGAGAATAAAGGTAGAAGTGGGATGTTGATATGTGGGGAAGGTGGTGGCGGAGAAAGGGGGGGGGGAGCGAAGGGGGGAGAGGGGGAGGCGAAGACTGTGTTGTCGTGGGGGAAACAGACGAAGCAGCAAACAGGGCAAGGCACGGGGCATTGTCGAGGACCGGGCTTCGAGGGGGGGGGGGGGGAGGGAAGGCCAGCGCATAAAGGCGGATCGGAACAGGAGATAGAATTGTGGGATTTCGATTTGACTTGCAGCTCGAGTGCCTGCAAGAGGGGGAAAAAATAGGCTGAAATAATCATCTATTGTCAACCTACTCGGGTGAGTTGCCACTTCAGTCATTTCCGTGATTATTCATACGAGGGTGGACACGTCAGGGGAAGTTCGCCCTTAACGACGGATGTCCTTAAGGCTCAAGTCCAGCGAAGGACTCTTGGCGGTACTCGAAGATCCATACCCGTAAACTAAACAAGGCAATTCAGGTGGATTCTCTTTCTACTTGATTCTGTCCTGATTATTTCTCTTTTGTGTTTTATTCGTTTTTAACATCAAATGTGTTGCGTTTGGTGTGCCTTTTGTTTTCGTTGTTGTTAGTAATAGTAATGTGGGACTGATGTTAGTGTTAGTATGGTCATATATTAAATATCACATGCATGTGTGTGTGTATATATATATGTATATATATATATATATATATATATATATATATATATATATATATATATATATATATATACATATTGTAGGGACACACACACACACACACACACACACACACACACACACACACACACACACACACACACACACACACACACACACACACACACACACACACACACACACCCAGTGCGAGATGACCGGCTCCAGTCTGGGAATCCAAGACGTCGCTCGAGGATCCTTCAGAGGAACTCCAGACGTTCAAGTTCCTTCCGGATCCCCTCCTCCAGGCCCGTAAGCCCCCGTTTGCTGAGCCTCGGCGACAACATCTCCAGCCAGCCGGGGGAAGGGCGGGAGGGGGGGGTGAGAGGGGAGGGGAGGGAGAAGGGAGGGAGGGAGGGGGGAGGGAGAAGGGAGGGAGGGATTGAGACGGGAGGGGAGGGAGAAGGGAGGGAGGGAGGAGTGGGATGGGATGAGAGGGCAGGGAAGAGGAGGAAGAAGTAGAAGAAGAAGAAGAAGAAGAAGAAGAAGAAGAAGAAGGTAGGAAATAGGATGGAATGGCAGTGGAAGGAGGGAGGGAGGGAGGGATGGAGAGAAGAGCGGAATAGTGGGACGAGAAGGAAAGAGCGAAAAAAGGGATTGGGGAAGGGATGATGAAACAAAAAAGAGGGAAAGAATAAGGAGGGGGAGGGGGGGAGATGACCGACCTGCAAGGAAGAGAGGAGGGAAGGGAGAAGGGAGGAGAAGAGAGGATGCGAGAGAGGGGGGGAAAAGACGGGCGGAAGCGCTGATGAGTTGCTTCCAAGACAAGGGCGGCGGAGGCGGTGTCCTCGGCGGGTCAAGTGCGGATCTAGTCTCGATTATGCAGTCTTCTCCTCTCGGGCTTATTTTGGCGCTCTCTTGCTCTTTCTCTTTCTTATTCTCCCTCCCTCTCTCTGTCTTTGTCCTTCTCTCTCTGTCTCTGGCCTTCTCTCTCTCTCTTTGTCCCTCTCTCTCTCTCTTTGTCCCTCTCTCTCTCTCTTTGTCCCTCTCTCTCTCTCTCTCTCTCTCTCTCTCTCTCTCTCTCTCTCTCTCTCTCTCTCTCTCTCTCTCTCTCTCTCTCTCTCTCTCTCTCTCTCTCTCTCTCACTCTCTCTCTCTTTCGTTTTATTTATTTTTCCTTTCATATTTTTTATATTCTTTCACTTCATTATCCCTGCCCCATTTACTCTTCTTGTTTATTTCTTAATAAGAGTGTCTTTTCTTTTTAGCTGTGTTTTTCGTTTCTTCCTCGTCTTCTATTTTCTTCTTCTGCTTTTTCTTCTCTTTTCTTCTTCTTATCTTCTCCCGTTTCCTTATGTTTTTTTTTCTTTATTTTCTTTTTTCTTTTTTCTTCTCCCTTTTCTTCTCTCTTCTTCCTCTTATGATTATTGTTATTATTGTTATTATTATTATTATTATTATTATTATTATTATTATTATTATCATCATCATTATCATCATTATTATTTTTCATTTTTTTCATGCTTCCTTCTTCGTCTTCATCCAATTTTCTTTCCTTTTTCTACCTCCTCCTCCTCCCTCTCATTCATTTTTTCTTTTTTCTTTTTTTTTCTTCTTCTTCTTTACATTATCCAGTTAATAATTCACATTTCTTCGTCCTCATTATCATCCTTTATCTTTTTCCACCAGAGGGAAATGAAAATGCGTGGAGGTTAAAGAAAAGGAGAGAGAGAGAGAGAGAGAGAGAGAGAGAGAGAGAGAGGAGAGAGAGAGAGAGAGAGAGAGAGAGAGAGAGAGAGAGAGAGAGAGAGAGAGAGAGAGGGGGGGGGGAGAGAGAGAGAGGGGGGGAGAGAAATAGAGAGAGAGGGGGGGAGAGAAAGAGAAAGAGAGGGGGGGGAGAGAAAGAGAAAGAGAGGGGGGGGGAGAAAGAGAAAGAGAGGGGGGGGGAGAGAAAGAGAAAGAGAGGGGGGGGAGAGAAAGAGAAAGAGAGGGGGGGGAGAGAAAGAGAAAGAGAGGGGGGGAGAGAAAGAGAAAGAGAGGGGGGGGAGAGAAGAGAAAGAGAGGGGGGGAGAGAAAGAGTAAAGGGGGAGGAGAGAAGAGAAAGAGAGGGGGGGAGAGAAAGAGAAGAGAGGGGGGGAGAGAGAGAAAGAGAAAGAGAGAGGGGGGGGGAGAGAGAGAGAGAAAAGAGAGAGAGAAAGAGAAAGAGAGAGAGAAAGAGAGAAGAGAGAGAGAGAGAGAGACGAGAGAGAGAGAGAGAGAGAGAGAGAGAGAGAGAGAGAGAGAAAAGAAGCACTCCAGGCCTAGAGTGCCGGTGATATTCCAGGGCTGAAGAGGCTATACTTACAACATGGAGGGGATCGTGACTGCCATTAGGATCTCTTGTTGAACTCCACTTGCAAGGCTGAGGTCTTTGTCCCCGCGGGCCAGAGGGGGAGGTGGGGGGAGAGTAGCGGGGGAGAGGGTTGGGGATATGGGAGGAAGGGGAGAGGGAGAGAGTGGGAGGGGAGGGAAGGAGGGAGGATGGGTGGGGGGATGTGGAGGAGGAGGAGGAGGGAGAGGAGGGAGGGAGGGAGGGAGGGTGTGTAGGGTATGAGGAGCTGTGGATTGTGGGGGGGGTAAGGGAGGGTGGGGGGGTGTTGGGAGAGAGGGGAGGGGATTATAGGAAGGTGGGGGGGGGCGGAGGGAGGACACTGAGGAGGCTGGGGGGGAGGGAGAGATAGTTTGAGGAGGACACAAAGTGGAGGAGGTTGTGGAGGATTGGCTGGCTTAGATGGAGGAGGAAGAGGAGGAGGTGGCGGTGCAGGTGGGGGGGGGGGGGAGATAAGAGGAAGATCGCAGTGGTGAATTAGAGCCCTTGTCAGTTTCCACTATTGAAAAAATCCCAAGGTGAGTGGGATCGTCTGCGTCGAGGTTTAGTGCTGCGCCTCTCGCGGCTCCGGAGGTATTTTGAGGCTTAGCAAAGGGAAAGGGATACTCGGCGGCGCGTGCACACACAGGCGCGCGCACGCTCTCTCTCTCTCTCTCTCTCTCTCTCTCTCTCTCTCTCTCTCTCTCTCTCTCTCTCTCTCTCTCTCTCTCTCTCTCTCTCTCTCTTACACACACACACACACACACACACACACACACACAAATATATATATATTGTAGGGACACATATACTCACAATTAC